AACAAAACAAAACAAAACAAAACAAAAAACTGTGTTTTCTGGACACAACAGGGCAGTGACACATATGAACCCACAGTGCTTGTGACAGCATGCACAAGACCTGCACAGGCCCAAGCCTGATAAAAGCCCATCATGTAGTGGGGAGGTAGTCAATAAGCTGCAGCCCTAGCTGAGGAACTACTGGAACTGATAGCTTCTGGGAGAGGTAGTGTCGGTTTTCATTAAGGATGTGATGCTGGTGAGGTTAACCAGGCTCCAAGGGATGGACCCAAGAGTATTTAGGGGGCACAAATTAGATTCTACAGGCCTTAAAAATAATTGAGGAAATGAAATGAGGCAGGTAGGAAGGTGGGGGTTGTATCTGAGAGGAAATGGAGGAGAGGGTCTGAATGTGATCAAAATACATTTTATGAAATTCTCAGAAAATCAATAAAATATTAAAAACAAATTTAAGAAGAAAAAAAGAAAAAGAAGTTCTAAGTTAAAAATTTGGTTCTGTAAGTTAAATGTAAAAAGACAGCATGTTAACAGTGTGAGTTGGTATTTAACATTGATAACATTACGTCAATGTGTAGAAATAATGAAAAATATTCCTCATGTAGGTCCTGTTGTAATAGTTGTGTAGGCTATTATTGAAGCCCGTGTTTTTGAATGAGTCATTTAGTGATGGTAGACTGTTCTGCATCCAGATCCTCTGTTTCACCTGCTCTGGAGCTGCCTTAGAAGTCCTAACTGGACCATATCTACTTTGGTTCACATTTATTCAGGGTGGTTTTGCAGACCTGTCTGTTAAAAGCTGAAACATGCATGTGTGGACTTGCTCTTGCTTGGAAGACTCTGTAATTATTCATTTAATTCATATGTTGTCTGTTTTGTTTTTTGTGTGTATGTGTTCATGTACATGTGTGTGTCCTGGTATGTATTCCTGTGTGTGTGTGTGTGTGTATGTGTGTGTTCATGTGAATGCATATGGAGGCCAGAGATTGATGCGGTGTGTCTTTCTCAATTGCTCTTCCACAATGTTTGAGTCAAGGTCTCTCATTGTACATGGAGCTTCCCAATTCAGCTAGACTAGCTGGCCAGCAAGCCATGGGAATCCTACTGTCTGAGATTACAGACATGTGCTGCCACACCCAGTTTTATTCCCAGTTGGATCCTGGGAATCAACTCAGGTCCTCATGCTTGCATGATATTCATTTTACCGACTGTGCCATCCCCTCAACTCCTGCTGTCTGTTTTATGCTGTTTTAAGTAGGATTCCATACCATTTGATGCCAAGAAAGAAAATCCACCCTAGAACTTGCTTATTTCTATCTTAAAGCATCAATATGGAGAGTAAATTTGACTGATGCATTTGTTGAAGATAAGGAGGATGACTTTACACCTCGGAATAGTCTAAGATTTCATAAATGTCGTTTCCTCATGTACCCTCTCCCATGCCCTCTGACCTCTGCTAAGCAGCCCATCTTCTTCTCCTTTCTTGTAGCTCCTAGTATTCCCAGAATTCTGTTGGGCATCTGTATATCACTCCTCCATCTGAGGAGAATTTTGCTTTTGTTCAGTACCTCACTGCCAGGCACCTGCATCTTTAAATCCTTAGAAAAGCACCAGGCATTACAAATAAAACAAAGCAGACTTCTTTCATGGGGCTTATTAGATTTAAAGA